ACTAGGTAGCAAGCGATCACAGTGCACTCTTAATTAGTGTTTTTAGAAGGTTAGAGGCTAATGGAATTCAGTCAGTATCAAACAAAAGTACTAGACGCATAATATTAGTTACTACCTGGCGTCCTATCAAAGTATTCATCACGGTCCTACAGGAGGTCATTTCAGAGGCTGAATAGCTCAGTGGTGACGTAAGTTCGAATCTCAGAAGGAACATGAGTTCCTTTGACGCTGCAGATACATCTTGCTCACTGGTAAGTGCCAACTAGCAGGAAACCTAGGTGCAAGGCTTCCTGTCAATCACCTCCAACCATCTAACATCAACAATTCAAATTGTACCATGATGGCGAGCCACGTAGAATGCTGACTATATTGCAAACCTGAATAATAGAATTTCAGTCGGCTCAAAACAAGAGACTAGACACATAACACTAGTTATTACCTAGAGTCCAATCAAAAATTACTTGACGCATGATATTAATTACTACGTGGTATCCTATCAAAATATCCATTAGGGTCCTACAGGAGGTCATTGGCGAGACTGAACAGCTCACTGGTAACGACTCTGACTGAATCACTAGACGGCCTGAGTTTGAATTACAGAAGAGAAATGAGTCTCATCAATGACTGTTTATTTGTCATGCTGACAACTGAAGATGAAATGAGGTCAGGGACATACTGACTACTGTCTGGATCCTCCACTGCCTAAACTGAGATCCAGATTATAATTTTACTTTCTTCAATCATCATTTATCACATTTAAAACACTCGATAAACCCAAAATTATCTTAGATATACCCACCATAATGATATCTTTAATTATGTAATTCAACAACTCAAATTAATAGATACAAAAATCTATTTCATGAAACAATTTAATGAACAACAAAGTTCTACGAAGAGTTTCTTTTCTCCGGCGAATTCATTCAGTTAGCTATACTGTCGCTTTTATATATATAATTATTTTGTAAGTCTGTATGTGTACATTAGGACTGTCAAACAAAAACTTAAAAAATAGTTGGGGTTATTGTTTACGTCATCAAAATGTTTCCGAAATGTGGTGTAACCAGTAAGGTGCAGCAAGTAGGGTGTGAGGACAAATATTCGTCGAACTATGTAGCAACCTAAGACAAAACAGCTGTCCAGTACTCAAAGGTTTTCCAGTAGTTTCTCTGACCACTGTCAGTTCATGATGAAATCCAGTAACCAATCAGTCACATCCCTACAAACCAATACTTGAAAATCAAAATGGTAACTAGGTTGGGGGTGAAGATTGAGAAGTATTGACAAGTGTTGCGTAATATGAAATAGGATTTTAATGGAGACAAGTATCCAAAACAAATTATGTAGTAGGTAGAAAGAGTAAATAAAGGGTTGGTTAAGAAAAAGATGTTACTAAGATATCATACAAAATTTTTTTTAAGAAACATTATTTACAAAGTAGTAGAAGTTGGGATTATACCCAAGGTAGAAGAAGGGTGTGAAGAAAATTCCTCTGTGAACATACATCAGGGTTTTCTCTCCGGATTACTAAAGCCTTGGCAGTACAAAGCATACAGAAGCTTACCATTTTCAAAGGGAGGGCTTCTTTTGACTTTGTAGATGACTTTGAATGAATTCTCCTTACATAATGAGTGACCAGTGTTGAATATATATGTTCAATTAAAGTAATCTTTATTGATCCACTGTACGTATCAGTACTTTCAACAGAAAGGGAAATCCTACAGACAAATCAGGCGTTTTTGCAGACCAAGAGATGAAGACCAAATGTTTAAGAAAACAGATATTCAGTACTTCTATTGATACCTATGACTTTCTGTTACTTGGTTTTTTTATTGGACATGTAGGCTTTCAGCGTGGATGGCTCTATGATAAAATTTTCTTTAAAATGTAACTCAAGACGCATATATTACATCTAATTTGACACTGGCTGATAACATCTACTTGCATCTTCTTGATTATTGATGTTTACAATAAGACTCTCACAAGCAGTAGGAAATCAAACGATTTAATGAGTGAAACTCACATGTACTGATTTTCCTAAGAGGTAGTTTTCATATTCCAACAGCCTAGGGAATAATATTTCCCACTTGAGTAGACACGTTCTCGGTTCGAAATTCAGATGTATTACTACTATTCAGTAAAAGTACAAACAAAAGTACACAGCATTCAGCTAAAAAACTTAAAGCAATCCAATAATGAACACGAGACACATAGTTCAGCGAGGAGCCTCTTTTCGGCGAATTCATTTTCTTTGCTGTACAGTCAGAATTATATATGAGTTATTTTGTATACATGTGTACATTAAGTCTGTCAAACAAAAATACAATTGGTTATGGTTATTCTAACTGAACAGGTGAAAATTAGTAAGTTTTGGGTAGAGTTACGTAATACAAAAGTGGTCAAGAAAATTAGGTGTTAATGAAATTAGTGTAGTAACTAAGGTGATGAGTTGTCACGAACAGTTGTTAAAACTTAGTTGAGTAATAATATAAAAAAATTGATGATTGAGTTGCACTCAGGACACACACAGGAATAAAGTAGAGAATACGAAATTGCGTAAGAGTTCTAAATGAATACAAGAATTATAAGCAATTAAAGAAACAGGCAAACAAACAAAATTAAATCATCAAAAATCAACAAAGTTGTAACCATGATAATAGAAGTGGTCGAGTAATTCTCTTCTGTATGCACAGCCCCAGTTTTTCTATGTGAATGGCCAGAGCTTTAGCGACACAAAAAAAAACGAGACTGTATTGCTTTTGGTAGGTTATTCTTGACTCTGTAGATTACTTTGAAAGAGGCGTTTGTTGAGATGGAATGATCAGTGTTAACCAGGTATTCAATTATCTTACTCATTACAGCACCACTATTGCCTTTCCGCAACCATGCTGTATAGTGTTCTTGAGTCCTCTTGAACAGGATGCGCGTCGAACGACCGATGTACCTGGCTCCACAGCAGCAGGTGAACTGATGTATGCACACAGAAGTAGTCAGATGCGGGCTTTTGTCCTTAGGGCTTCTGCAGATCAGTGGGCGACTGGAGAACACCATTCTTAGCGTTGCTGCAAAGAATGTTCTTCTCAGAGATGATGCGATTCTTCTCTTGAGAATATCGCTTACTAAATCTCCCTTGAAATCCAAGTTCATGCAGAGCTTCTTTTTCCACGCGAGTTAAGTTTCATTCCTCCGAATTCTTGGTTTGATACTTTTGTCAATGAATCCTGGTGGGCATCCATTTTGGATGAAGATTTCTCTCAAAAGATCTCATTCTATTTCTACAAAATCGGGACTACATATGCATCAGATGCGCGTAGCCAGGGATTTAATTAAATTTCACTTTTTTTGGATGGTTTACTCAGCTGTAGAAGCTTGTTAGTTGACCATTCCAAGTAGCTTTTCTATGGATCAATCTTCTTTAGCTCCCATCAGTTCTTCTTGTTAGCTCCACATCAAGAAAGGGAATCTAATAACTCATTAATTGGGACTTCTGATAATTAACGATATATATATATACCCTCGCTTATCCTGTGATCAGGCTGAAAGAACGTGGAGGTTGGGTTCGAGTTTGGCAACCTCATCCCATAAATTCGAATCGATACCACCTCTACAGAATCTTTAAGACTCCAACTTGAAGCCCTAATTTTCCACTCTGAATGTTAAGGAATGAATTAATAGATGGAAAAACATAATCTGATAGCCTGATGATTAAATTAGATAAGAGGACTTGTTTCCTCAAGATGATAGACGTGCTATGGTCGATGAGTACTCACAGCTTTGAAACTCTCCCTAAATGATTTCTTCCTCTCAATAATTTCTAATACTTATTACTTAGTCTTTCTTCTCCGCTTCTTTCTAATTCTGAGTATTCGAAGGCATCATATTTAGAACAATGAACGAAAGTTGACCAGACAAGATGTAATAAATGCATAAATTATGATACACTATGTCTACATGTTTGATTAAGCATATTCTGCTGCGCTTTCAGAAACATGGGAGGAAACACCTGCACAAAGCGTCTTTTAAACTCTTCAACTCGTCGGCTGAATGATAAATTTAGTGCTTCATAAATTCAGTTTGAAAGACGTTTATGTTTGTAGACTCAGAGATGAAAGGCCCACTCAGAACTATGTCGGTATTAAAGCCAGTCATTAGAAAGCATCAGATTAATCTTTTGAAAGTAAACTTGTGGGGACTCCATTTGATTCAAGTTTCATTAGTTAAAGAATCACTGGAAAATCAGGGAGTACTAGACAGCTGTTTCGTCCTAGTCTTGGACACATCAGCATCACGCATCTACCGGATTTTGAACGGAGGACTTCCCGATTACTAGGCAAGCTTATAGACCATTCAGCCAGTAGGGCCTAATTCAATGGCTTATAAATCGCAACTTCTACCAGTCAATATCATCAGCGAGCATTTATCCTCAATCGACCTAATGCTCAAGACTTCTCATTAGAACTCCAGAAAACTTTGTCCTATTGTCAGTCACTAGCGATTGTCAGCTTAATTCCTCAATAGTTAGTTTGTAAGGGTTTGATTTGTTTCAATTTTGAACAACTATCGTAAAAACCCTAAATTATTAGAGGGGAGTTTCGTCCTAATTTCTGCTTCTTCAGTAGTACGCACCCATTGGGGTTCAAATCCAGGAGTTTCTGGTTACACAGCAATATTTGCAAATTACTTTTCACAATTAACCAATTAAAATCAAACAGCATTTTTATTGGCTGTTCACCTTTCCGACATACTGCAAGTGTACACAAGTCAGGTGATTTGTATTTTTCAACTTAGTTAGTTGTCTATATACAACATTTTACTTATTAACACATTTTTGTAAATCTCTATCGTTTTGGTGATTTTCGTCAGTCTGAAAAGTACTAAAAAAAAACAACAACAACAAAGACAGAAACCATAGGAAGGAGTAGATTAATGTAGAATTAGTAAAGTGATCATGTTTATTGTAATAAACATCTTATTCTTTTCTGTCCTTTTCAATGTCCAAGGATTTACATCAAATTCGTGTCACTAATCAAAGAGACAATCATATCAATCGAAATCATAATGATAATAATAATAATAACAACAGGAATACTGAAGTCGATTATTCAACCTATAGACATTCATCACATCATGTAGGCGATCCAGTTCAACCGAGAAGTGATATTAACTCAATACACAGAACATATGAAACTATACAACGAAATAATACATGTAAAACAAATTTGTCAACACAAAGACAATATCAACAGCAACAACAACAATCAATTGATAATCAGCTGAAGAAACCACAAAGAATTACAAAAGCCTCCAGTTCATCATGTGAATCACGTATTCTTGGGAATCGTCCTGTGAGCTTAGACAATCAGTATAATAATAATAACAAAATTTACTCAAAACGTGATGACTATGACACTCAATGGTCAAATAAGGATAATAAATATTCACAATCAGTATTGCATAACGCATCACATCAATCACGTAATCCCCTGAATAATTCAGTGAATAACAATAACAATGTGAATTATGGAATAACACATTGTCCAGTTACTAAGTCTGATTATCAATTACGTAATCATATAACAAAAGAACAAAAATCTGTTCATTGGTCTGAAGATTTAGGTAAGCTCAAGTGTAAAACCATTTTTGTTGAATTTTCACTCTTGACATTTTTATTGATATTGCATAAATGAAGGCGCCTTATGGTGAATGAGATACACTCTAGCGACTGGCCCTATTCAGGTAGGTAGTTACCTGGGGTTCTAGTGTGACGTCGTGACCATTAGGGTGCAGTAGGTCAGGTGTAACGACAAATACTTGCCGAAGACATTGGCTACCTGTCGCGCTATGTCGTGAATTGGCAGAAGTTGGAATTCATAGGGTGGCTGTTGGATTGGGTCCCAATGACTTAATGATCTACGAGCTTGCCTTGTAACCAGAAGGTCTCGGGTGTGTACTGATGAAGAGTCCCAAACTAGGACGAGACAGATATCCAGTAATCCTGGGTGGTTCTCCAATGGTTCCCCTAACTGATGTCGATTCATGATAAATCTGTAACCATTAGTCAATTCCTACAAACCAGTACTTGAAAATCAGAAGTTATAAGTTTGATCACTGGCTGATATCAGTTAGAGAATCAGTGGAAAATTAAAAAATACTAGAGAGTTGTTTCGTCAGTACACACACTCACCAGAGTTCATACCCAGCATGTTCACATCAAACTAACAAATTGATAATTAATCTGGTGCTCGTTAGCGACTGGCTTTATTTAGGAAGTTACTAGGAATTCTAGTGATAAGTTATGACCAGTAAATTCAAATAAGTCAGTTAATACAAAAGTTACTCGGTGATGACATTGCTGGAGGTCACATTATATATATCTCAGCTACCAGTAGGTCCTGGGTTGAAACCATGATGGTTTCATACTGTTGAAGAGTCTAAAACTAGGATGAAACAGTCATCCAGTATTCCTCCCCTAACTAACATCACCTCGCGATTCAACTTGAAACCAATCAAATCCCTACAAACCAACACCCGAAGATTCAAAATTTCACTGGAATTATTTATAACTAGACGAAAACAGTGCTGTAGGAATATACCATCTCTTCAATTCTAACAGCTACTACGTAATCTTCAAGTATTGATTTTGTAGGGATTTTGTTTGATTGGTTGGAGGATTTCATCATGAGCTGACATCAGTTAGAGAACCATTGGAAAACATGAAAGTACTGGACAGCCAGTTGTTTTGTCAGCCTAGTGTGGGACTTTTTGTCAGCACGCACCCACCACAGGGATCTGAACCCAGGACCTTCTGGTTACAATGCCAAAGCCACTGGGACCCTCCAGCCGAATGGCCAGTCCATGAATTCTAACTTCTGCCAATTCATAACATAGCGTGACCACTTCACAATGTCTTCTTAGATGAGTTACTGCCTCACTTTTTATTGCACACAGAGATGGAAAATCATTATGGCTATTTCTAAAGAGAACAAAACTAGGAAGTTGAACAAACAGGCTGTACTTGTTTACATATCGACAGACAGGAAAGTGGTATTTTATTTACTAAAAACGATAATTTGATTGTATCATCCATATTGTCTAATTAGTTCATCGTTTGAGCTCAACTATATGGTAAAAATCTCCTAATGAACCAGATGAGGAATTAGACATTTTGAAAGTGCTTATGGTAGTAACCGGGTCTAGAATCCAATATCTATTGGCTGGAAGACGAGTGTTGCAACCAATAGTAGCATCTCCACTCTTCGTTAACTAATTCGCTTTACAACTCACTATAAGCGACATGATCTAGTAGATGACTGACCTTCAACACTTAGAAGACTTAAGGAATTTCACTTCCATTTTCTACCTTTTGAATCTATACAATTCAGTTGAGTTCCCATTGGGACTTTAAGCTATATGCTTCGATGTTCCAGTAACGTTTGTGTTTTAACTCATATTGGTAAGGTTGTTAGCCTCACACACCACCTTCCCCCTTTTACGAGTGTACTACCTGCTAGGCAAGGTTGAGGAGCGTATCGGCTGAGAATAGAACCTGGATTACACTCATGGCTGGCGTCTATTCTTCCTACTGAGCATCTTACTTCTTTTGAATAATGCCGATAGATTTGAACAATATGCTTTCTATTATCGACTGGAAGAGAGATTTATATTCAAAAAGGATAAACCTGTGTATCACAGAGAATAAAACTCATTGGTTTTTAGTTGCTGACCCTTGTCTCCATCTCAGTCGTCATCATACGGCTCTTATTATTAATAATTAAAAGAAGGTAGTCATTAGGATGAAGAAAAATTAATGTGGAGCCATACTGTCAGCAAAAGGATATCAAGAGTTATTTTATAATTAACATTATCAAATTATTTCCAGCAAAAATACATGAATATATACGCGTCGATTCATTGAACAGTGATACAAAACTATGGGTAAGTGAATCCATCCACGTAAAATCAGCTTACATTCAGTTCTAGACATTGAACGCTAATGTTAACAACAAAAGAACTGCAAAAAGTTTAGTGTTGTCTAAATAATTGTAGAATGAAAGAATGCTCTCCCGCCTCCACGCTGGAGGCTTTGAATCGATACACAGCCGATGTACTCCTAGTTAACCTGAAATAATGTCGACTAGCTGGTGATTAACCTGGAAAACGGAGTAAGTTCATCGTGAGGTTAGGAACCTCACCCGAACATCACAGCCAATGGAACTTCAAAATCTCTTAGCTCTGTATTTAAATCAACAAGCAATACGATTCGAATTAGCAATAATAACAGACACTCTGTTTCGTTCTTGGTTGAAACTAGTTATCCAATGGTTTGCATTTATGATCCCAACAGGGATCTACCATTCACTTCATCCATGTATAACAATGGAGTAGTAATGAGGAAGAAGGTAATAAATGGCTAGCCATTCAAGAAAATCTAGTAAATTCCATATATCCTGCTATATTTTTATTCATTTACTAATTTGACAGTGCTGACACAAATCCTGATGCTGAAGATTCTCCTATGCACAGTGGAAAATAGTTTTCAGAATTCTACACCGATTAGCTATGAAAAGAAACATTCTGGAGTTTTGTAGCTTACACTAAACTGTAATAATTTATCACCTTCTATCCCTTTTAGGATAGTCCTCCCATAAATGAGATATAATTTGTGAAATACCAAGTTAATAAGACATAAAATAGAAAAGGACAAGACTCTGCATTGATGATCGACGCCATTAAGTCTGGTTATTCAAATTACTGAAATAATAATATTTTGTAATTACGTTCTCTTGATCTACACTATTCCAATGTGTAAATGCCAGTTATTGAGTAAATCTGGTGAGTCAATAAGCAAACTGATCTTTAATTTGGCGAAAGTGTGAAAGGAAGCTGGTTTACAATTACAGCAGAAACCGTTAGTGACTGATTGGCGATGGAAGTGTCTACGATAATTTTGCATTGGATTCTTTCGATAGTGAATGGAGGAGAAATGAAAATTTTGGTCACTATATAGTTTGGTACTCTTTAGCGTTACACAGCTCTGACCTCATCAGTGATTCAGCAAAAGACGTTTCCTTTACGGTATGAGCATATTAAGAAATCAACAACTGAGACCGAATTCAATTGACGATGACAAACAACTTCTGGTACTCACTAGTAAGTGACTAGGGAATGGAGTGACTAGATTTCTAGTGAGATGTCATCACCTCTAGTGTCCACCATGTTGGGTCTGTGCAGAGATTAATACGTATCACACTGACTAGTGGCTGCTCTTTATATATAACACAAATTGCCAGAGGTTAGGATTTACTGACCACTCGATCCGGTCTCACTGGTTGAATGGTCAGTGAGCAGAACTCAACAGTTTTTGGTCCGATCCCTGCTGTTAGTGACATGATGGTGTACAGATGATTAGTTTCAAACTAGGATGAAACAATTATTCAGTACTACCTACTAGCTTTCAATCATCCTCTAACTGACGTGACATTCAAATCCCTGCAAACCAAAACTTCAAGTATATGCCCACCTCAACTTCATTGAGAAATAAGAAGTTGATTAAGCATAAGATAGAAAAGGGGAAGACAGTGGTCCACGTCAATACATCTAATTAGGTGAATAAGTAAACTAAACGTATTGTGATTTCGTACTGTTTCACTCAATGTTTTACAATGTGCAAATGTTAATGATTAAATAAATTTATAACATTTATAAATTGGCCTGATTTGTTGACAAAGTGAAGAGAAACCAATTCTAACGAAATACACCTGTCGCCTTCACCATAAACAAACTACCCATGCAATTCATCAAAGTTTTTTATTCAATTTACTTAAATGTAACTATTAGTGATTTGATTTCATCACTGAAAAACGATATTGACTGTTTAAAACAAATAAATGTGGTTTCAATTGTGAAGGCATTTATTGAAGAGTGAAATTGGATGATGAAGGGCAGCCACAAGAAAGATACAATAAATAGGTTGAATGATATTTGGTTAACATTGTCGCCTAATTTTTGTATTCCTTGAGTCTCTTTAACTTTACTGTTCTGTAAAAGAAACAGGAATTGTCGGATCGAAAAGGCAGTTGCTTACCAGTAAATCAATAGCAATTTTAAGGGAGAAAAAGTCTGTTTATTCCTTCATTCATTCACTCACTCATTCATATATTCGTTTACCTCAGTCATTGGAACAATGGATTCTCTGAATTATAAGTAAAGGACAATAGGTACGGTGTATTTTCTGATTCACAGTTGCAACAACAGTGTTCTTGACTATGCTGCAGTGATTCTCTCTCGCTCACTCTCAACACCACCACCAGTAGGTACTACTGTCAATGATAGCGTTTGTCTTCCAGTTTCACTACAAAATATCAACCTGGCAACATTCTGATGCATAGTTCGTGTGATAACTTTTAGAATACCTGTGAACTAAACACTCAAACTGTCTAATAAGTTACAGACTGATTAATCACCTGCTTAACAATGATAGATACGTTGATCCGTTAACCCAGTTTCATTAATCGCTGTAGAATTCACCTTCAAATCTTCACTTGCAATTGATAACTTAATGTTTTTTTCAATACAGTCACCATCATTTTTTAGAAATCATCACTGTAATTGTGAAT